ATATCGGGTACACCTGCGACTTCTTCCTAAAATAAATTTTTGGTGCACAAGATATGAATACTTTTCCGAGATTATTTATTTTTCGGGATGCCTGGTACCCTCTGTACATGTAATGAGGAAGTTCGAAGTCAACAAGCAGCGTTTCTGTATGCCTGATTTTTTTCTTCTTATTGCATCAAAGTTTGATTTTATTTGTTGCAGTTTATATGGCTGACTACACTCAATGCTGCAGCGTCGCCTACGGACAACCTGTATCAAGGACGTGGTCCGCGGTAGCAACCCACTGCACCAAAGTTGCGACAGCAACTGTTGGTCAGCTACGTCGATAGGAAGTTGTTCGCAGTCATCTACGTATCGGGCACCATTCTCAATACAAAATACCCACGCTCTGAATGCTAGTTACTGCGAATTTGCCGTTCAGATATGCTCGTTTATCTTGAGTCGTGCTGTCGTGCATTATGGTTTCTACTCCGTAAAATAGCGAGTAAGTAACATGATGATACCAATAGAAGTTGCTCCACAAAAACATCAATTTGCTCTAAGAACTACGCTATCCGTTCGTACGCTACTACCAAAATGTAACCTTCTATCCGATCACACACTTCTATAGTGCAAGGTATCAACGAGTTCAATCCTCGTTGATATGCACGTCACTCGATGAGTACTGGCACAACTTGCCCGACGGCCCGTCGCCCAGGTTCGACGGCGTCTTGCTGGCCTGCGACCACTGGCACACCTTGACGTTCTTCTTGCCGTCCGTCGTCTTGACGTAGATGTTCTTGAACGTGGCCTGGTCGTTGTTGTTCTTGTTGACGGTGACGACGCTCACGAGCGGGTCGAGAAACGACAGTCGATTCTCACGCATTTTGAAAAAAATTAGAATTCGTGCCGGGACAGGTGGTCCAATTTTTCTCGTAGCAAGTTTTTCACGGCTGCAAATACGACCACCGAATTCAATCGAATTGGAACTAAGTTAAAACTTTGTTGGGGCACAAAACTTGGATCGACAAGAC